ATCCCTCCTCCTCCATTCTCTCCTTGAGGTCTTGGGCACACATGCACGCGCACCTGGTGTGTTTCAAGCCTCTGGGTCCGGAACTCCAAGGACGTCAGTCATGTGGGAGTTCAGTGACACCACCGTTTCTCTAACTGCTGGTCCCAAGACACATTTTTTTTTTTTTAAGAAGCCACCAGGCGGGGGCCAACAGGTGGCTGGAACCCACATAGCCAACTTCACAGTTTGAGTCCCACACCTAGAAGCTTGAAAATCACGCTGGACACATGTGCATGCATGCCCAAAATCCTGAAAGGAGAATGGAGAAGGAATTGTGGTGTGGCCATCCTCCCTGGGGGGAATGACTTTTCACGGTCTCTCTGTCTCTCATCTCTCTTTGGTAAGCACATACATCCTATAGCCTTAAAAAAAAAAGCCATCAGATGGTTCCTCAAAACATTAAACAGAACTACCACATGGCCATATTCAACTCCTAGCCATACACCAGACATCTGAAAACGCACAGGGTGGCAGATCTTTGAAAGTTCGTGGAAAATGCATTTTACGAAAATGACTATAAATGGATTTCTACTTTTATACCAAAACACTCTTATACTTTAAATCCATTTACCCATGAACTTTTTTTTAAATAGGAATCACTTATTTTTTAATTTGACCAGAGACAGGGGTGGGGGGAGGAGGAGAAGGCAGCGAATGACAAAGCAAGCCATCAGGTGGGGAACTTGATCTGTGGTCAGCAATGTGGAAGTCCAGCGCCTTAACCCCCATGTCACCTGCCAGCCCTGCTTATGAGCTTTTTGAAGCACCCTTGTATGTCCACACAAAAACCCATACACAAATGTTCACAGCAGCATTGTTCACAATAACCAGAGGTAGAGGTAAGCCACTCGTCCCTCGAAGGATGAATGGATGAAGAGAATATGGCTGGGTTAGCCAGTGGTGTGGTAGTTCAGGCAGCTGGATCCCACATGGCCATAGCCTGGTTCGAGTCCCAGGCCCTGTGGCTTAAAAATGTCAGGGGGTGTGTGTGCAATTATGTGCCCAAAATCCTGAGAGGAGAATGGAGGAGAAGGGATTGTGGGTGGCCATCCCCCCTGGGGGGGTGACTTCTCACTTTCTCTTTCCCCAATGAGCTTACACTTCCGTCCTATAGCAAATGTTTAAAAAGAAAAAGGAAAGGGGGAGAGAATGCGTCTATCCACACAGTGGGACGTTATTCGGCTGCAAAAACGGAGTGAAGTCCGGACACACAACACGGACATGCCTCAAAAACATCATGACAAGTGAAGAAGCCAGACCAAACGGTCATGTGTTTCATGATCCCCTTCACTGGAGACGCCCGGTACCGGCAGATCTAGAAAGACAGAAAGCGGATTGGTGATTGAAACGGGTTAGGACTTGGGGTCACAGAGAGTGACTAGGAATAGGTAGAGTTTGATTTTGGACTCATGACCATTTTTGGAGTTCTGTAGAAGCGATGTCATATAATATTGTGAATGTACCAAAGGCCACTGGATTGCATACTTTCATGTTAGGTGAATTTTAGATCAAAAATCGAAGAGGAAGAAGAAAAGGAAAGGAAAAGAAAGAGAAAACCAGGGCAGGCCAGGCCAGGCCAGGCCAGCGGTCCCAAGCTTTCCTCCCCAGGTGTTCAGTTCCCCTTGAATATAGCAAGGATCGACCATCTGCAAACGGCATGCGATCCACAGGCAGGCCGACCGGAGGCTCCAGATCTCACCCTCACGCTCCCCTCGCACCACAAGCACACGTCCAAGTTTCACAAACACTCGGCTCCATCGGGCTGTGCACCGTGAGTGTGCCCGCCTGGGGAACTGGACAAGGTCACTGACGAGACGCTGCACTCCCGAGAGCACTCAGAGCGCCCAGACGGAAGCAGACAATGGGATATTCAGCGCTAAAGAGGAATGAGCTGTTGTGCCAAGACACGGAGGGGCCCTGCTGCATGGCGTAACTGGGAGAGCATGGCGGCACGGGGCGGGCTCGGGCCACACGGGGGCCAGGGTTCGTTGCCAGCCCGACAGTGGCCTGTGCCTGTGGTCCTGCTAACGGGGAGGCTGGGGCAGGGTCACAAAATATGCTGAGAACCGGTCAGGAGTCTCTCTTTCCTCCACATCTCTCAAAAAAAACCCACATACCGCTCAGTGAAAGAAGCCAGTCTGAAAAGGCGACATGCATACTGTATGAGACCAACTGCATGACATTCCAGAAAAGGCGGACTATGGAGACAGTCAAGAAATGAGTGGTTGCCAAGGGCAGAGGGCAGGAGGGATGAGCAGGCAGCGTGCGGGGTTTCCAGGGCGATGGGACTGCTGTGAACGACACAGTGACGGAGGGCACATGCCACCGTGTTTGTCCAGTCCTAGACCCGTATGGAAACGGAGGACCGCGGACGACCACGGCATGCCGGTGCAGGTTCCTTCAGTGATAAACGTCCCCTCTGGGCCAGCCAGTGGCACGGTAGTTCAGGTGGCTGCGGTTCGGCTCGGACCTGGTTCCTCGAGGGGCATGCCGGGTGCGTGAGCACATGCACCCGGGGTCCCAAGGGTGTCGTGAAAGATTACAGTGTGGCTATCTCCCCTGGGGGGGGGTGCCTTCTCCCTTTGGCCCCCTTTCTAGGTCACTTTCTGGTGAGCACACACCCTGTAGCAGATTTACATCTTTCTTAACATAACAGGGGCTGGCAGGTGGCATGGTGGTTAAAGGCACTGGACTCCCACATAGACAACTGTGGTTCGAATCCCAGACCTGATGGCTTGTTCCCTCTCACGCTGTCTCACTCTAGTCAAATTATAATAAATAAATAAAAGCATTTCTTAAAAAAGAAAAGAACACCTACAGGTGGCATGGAGGTTAGGGTGCTGGATTGCACGTGGCCACCTATGCTTTTCAAGTACCAGACCCAGCAGCTTGAAGAACGTGCCCGGACCGTGTGGGTACACGCTTAAGATCCTGAGAGGAGGATAAAGAAGGGATTGCAATGTGGCCATCCCCGAAGGGGTGATTTCTCTTTCGCTCTCTCCTTGTTTCTCTGTTGAACACACACACACACCCTACAGCAAAAACTAAAATACAAAATACCACTCTGGTGTGGATGTCACTGGGGAAGTTATGCATATGTGGGGGTATGTGAAAAACAGTTTATTCGGGAACCAGCAGTTAGCGTAATGGCTATGTCGATGGACTCCCACGTAGTCGACCGCGGTTCGCATCCCGGACCTGGGCTTAAAACACACCGGGCGCGTGTGCGTGCGTGCCCAAGATCCCGAGAGAATGGAGAAGGGATTGTGGCGTGACCATCCCCCCTGGGGGGTGATTTCTCGCTTTCCGTCTCTATGTCTCTGTCTGGCGAGCGCACGCGTCCTATAGCGAAAAACCTCTCCAAAAAAAAAAAGCTTATTTGAACGGGGAATAAAGTTTACTCTGGGGGAGAACACCTCCCTTGCACTGCAGAGGGCAGCCACCAGGCTGCTAGTTAAACGCACTAACCAGGTGCTTGGCTGTTTTAATCTCGCTAAACCTCAACGTCTTATTTCTTTAAAATTCTTAGATTAAAAAACAACTGCTCCTGGTCTCTTTCATGGTTCCTACTAACCCTACTTCCGACTCGCTCGTGGGCCTGTACAAAACAGATGACTCATTGTAAACATGAGTCACGAAGGCAGACCACTTTAATGAGGATCCAGAATGCAAATCGGAGTTCTGCAAGGAAAATTCCATGGTCTACATTTACTCCTAACAGAGATCTTGAGCCCAGAATGTCGGAGGGTCTTAATATCCCAAACACGACCGGCTCTCGCTGGGAAGAAAACCGAGGCCACATTTATAAGCAACTGAGTGCCCAACACCACTGCACTCAGTAGCAACCAGGAAGCCAGTTGTCCCCGAGAAAACACATTCGTGGCTAGCGCTGTGGTCGGCAAGGAATCCAACCGTGCCTAAAGTTAGCTGAAATATAACAGCTAAAAGCTTTTCGTTCACAAGACACAAACTATACGACCACCTCCCCTAGTGGACAGAGCGTCTAAGGCGTACAGCCATTCTGGGTCTGCGCTTGGGAAATTCTTCTTTCAGGTCCAAGTAGGTAGATAGAAAGCCGGTATGCTTGCTGGTTGAATGGGAGCCAGTGTTTGCAACAGACTAACTCCACAGTCTCCAACAAACAGTGGCAGAACAAAAGAGCCTTTTAATTCGTAAAAATACATGAGTAAGTCCAAGTCCATACTCTGAACAACAAAACGGAGCGAGCGACTGATGGATACTCAAACTTGTAAGCAGGCCGTCTGACGTTACAGTTGCACAGAATATATACTTTACAGTCCTGAAAACAGGGCTCTTGTGTGGAAGACTTTGCATATGTAATTAATAACAGCTTGGGATCATGTATATCCCAGCATCTGAGCCAAACTGCTACATATGCATGGCCTCGAATTTTGCCAAATGAAAGAAAAACCACACCATCGGGACCTCATGTGCCGCGAATTTTCAAGACCGTAAATCAGAGTTTAAATGACAATCGTTCGCCATGCCAAGATAAGTCTACATTTTCCTGCACCTTCCAAAACGCAGCTAGATGGTCAGGTAGAAAAGAGGAGGGGGTGGGGGCGGCAAACAAATTCCTGGCGCCTTACAATACCCTCCTTCTATCATCTCGCAACCGCCCGATCAATTAACAAAGCAGGTTTTGTTCGGAGAATAAATGAGGACGGCTTTCTTCTGTGCATTTTATTAAAACTTGAAAGCTATGTATGGCTTGCTGCCATGGCGTTGCCCATTGGGTTCCAACAGCCTAATGTTCGAATCTGACTGGTTAGCAATCCACCCCACTCAACCTCGGTCATCTTGACATTGCGGGGTAATTCAACAAGTCTCCAGTTTTTTATCATGAAGGATTTTCTACCGTTACGGAGCAAATAAAGGTTCTTTGTAGCCCCGGCTAGAAACACAACACGAGACCTTTCTTCACGCTGTAAGAACTGATAAATAGTTCAACGAGTGAACCGAAGACTTTATTTGTCAAAAGCAGATAACACTGAAGTACTACGTGGCATCCACATTCATTGCAAAAATAATTATGGGAATTTTCCAGACATCACAGGAATAAGCTCAATCATTGGTTACAACAATCATTTTCAACCAATATACAGATTCCCTTGCAGGTCTAGGTCTGGTTTCTGTGTAGTATTATTCACACGCACACCCTGTGCTGACTATGATCCAGAAGGATCATTCTTTCCTACTGAAAGTTGGGCCCAGTTTTGTGTCGATTTCAGAGATGGTGCAGCAGCCGCCCTGGCACTCTGGCTTGCTGCTTGAGTCTTAGAATCCTGTCTTCCGATGTCATACAATAAGTTGTTTCTCCAAAAAACAAAACCAGACTTGAGATTCCTTTGAGGCACTTGCGGTTCCCAAGCTTCTCAGCACCGTGGTACTGGGACAGGCTCATCTTTCCAAACACACGGCCGAGAACCCAGAGGGGGCCCCACTTTGCGTTCTGTTACCATGATGGAGGTCTCTAAGAACCACGCCAAACCAAGTAAAGGCAGTGGGTGAAATGATCCACGTCTGTTTCCGCTAAACACAAAAGGGAGAGTGCATTGCAAATGGACAAATGATACCAATCATGTCCAAAAATAGCTACCGAAAATGGTTCTATAAATCCCTCCTTTCCATGTTCCGCTCAGAGGTGCACGAGACCAAAAGCGGGGCATAAGAACGGTTAATTACTGTTTGAGAGAAAGCATCCCTTCATGTAAGGTGGTGCAGGAGAGCTGGCATGAGAACCGGCAGAGGGGCAGACCAACAGGGAGACCAGCCCCCTTCCTAGTGTGTTACGGCCTCATGGACGGGCGTCAGGTGGGTGTTAGCAGCCCCTCTGGTACTTAAAAAAAAAATTAAGAAATTAAAGTGAGCTTGTGTGCTAATGAAGTCATCAATGACAGAACCTAAGAGCCGAACCCCTGAAGACTAGAAGGCAAGATTTTTGTCACGAGGGGTGGAGACAGACGGGTAAGATAACAGGCACCGGAGGCCGATTCAGCCGTTCAGTCTCAAACTAAGGCAACCCGAGGCTTCTCATTTTGAGACCACCACCTGAAAGGCCCACTGAGGCAGGGAAGGAGCCGGCCAACAGCAAATCATTGGAAGATCTTCACTGGGCAACAATCACAGTCAGACGATGGGATGGCATAGGGTCACAGGGAGGCGGGACGCCCCTGAACCAACACTCAAGGTCAGTGTCTTTGCATGTCCTGTGTACGACTCCAAGCAGCAATTTCTGGGGTTTGGAGGTGTGAGACTTTTGCGCTATTTCCCCCCAAAAGAAGACACGAAAGTGAACCCCACAGTGAGCTGAGACCCCCAGGGCAGGACCTCCAGCAAGGGTGGGCTGAGTGGGAGTCACAAAGGACTTCCTGCAGCTCTCGGCTCCCTCAGGTCTGGCCAAGTCCTACAAACGCTTGTAGGTGCCCAGGAGGGCTCTGCAGTTGGGACAGTAGTGATCCACATCCTGCAGGGCGTCCACGCAGAAGGGGATGAAGCAGCAGCCGGCCACACACCTGGCAGGACAAACAGCAAGGAGCACGTTACTGACGCAGCAGTCGGATGGGGGCTGGCAGAGCCACATTCACATCTAACCCGGGAACCTGCAGAGGTGACCTGACTGGGAAAAAGAGTCTGAAAATGTACTTAGGGATCCCGAGATGGGCACCCCCTGCATTAGCCAGGTGGGCCCTAAACCCAGTGACTAGGGTCCTTATAAGGAAACAAGGGGGTCAGCAGGTGACGTTAGTGGTTAAAGTGCTGGACTTGAGTCCCGGACCTGGCAGCTTGAAACTTCCACTGGGTACGTGTGTGTGTGCCCAAATACCAGGCACACACTCACTCACCTTATCCTCGGCAGGAAATCAAAGCACAGGAAAGTCAGGTTACCTGCAGAAAGTCTCGCAGCTAGAGAGAGGCAATCTTGGAACCCACTCTATTATATTTAAGGAAGGAACTGAAAGAAGGACAGCAAGCCTGCCCCATTTTCAAAGCCATATCAGCAGAGGCCAACACTCGATGTCAGTTTCTGTGTGTCTTTCTCTGATTTCAGAGAAAAAAATTAAGGCCAGCCAAGTGGTGTGATGGTTACAACAGTTGGATCCTACACGGCCAACTGTGTGGTTCAAGTCCTGGACCTGGCAGCTTAAAATACGTTGTCTTGGGGCTGGCAGGGGGCGGCGGGGGTTGGGGGGGTGGGCTCCCAGGTTCGAGTCCTGGACCTGGTGGCTTGCTTTGTCACTTTCCTCTCTCTCTCTCTCTCTCTCTCTCCTTCTCTAGTCAAGTTAAAATAAATAAATAAAGTTAAATAAAATAATTCATAAAAAAAATGGTCTCCAGCGAATGCATGTGCCCTAGAGCAAAAAATAATAATAATTGATACAAATGTTTAAAAATTTTTAAAAGAGAAAATTTAGTTTTAAACCAAAGTCCAAAGGCGATAAATTTTATTTAGCATTTTCTGCCCAGGGAATAAAAACAATAGCCAACAGTGGAGTCCTGTGGGCCAGACAAGGCTCAGAGGCCAAGAAACCTGATGGTCTCCTTTCTCGCCCTCTTAACACATGACCTCGAGGACGTTAATTAAGCTCTCTGGGGCTCGAGACCCTTTGAAGTCAGTAAGAAAATATTGTTCCTTCTCAACCTGAAGGCACAGCAGCAATGAGGAGGAGCGTGCCAGTTTTATAAGAGCAGAGGGCTTCTGGAAGGAAACTGACGAAAACCATTTCCTTCAAGGAAAAAACACGGTGCCCCTGGGGATTCTCTCAGCAGCTCATATGGCCCACAGTTAGGAGGCTACCTTTACTTGCTGGGGAAAAAAGTGGTTTTCTAATTGTTGTTCTCAAATGTCTCACCAAAGACAGAAACGATGATCTCAGACATAAACAGTGCTATGGTCTCCCTGCACAGGCAATGGGAAAAATCCTTCAGGTCATAAGAGGATAAGGAGTTTTAAAGACATAATGATGAGGTATTTAAATGTATAGATTGTTGAAAGCTCCCCTGAGAGTCAAGCAAACATTATTATTTAGGTCATGAAATTCTAGAAGAAAAAGAAACCCCTGAGGTATCATCGGGGGGCGCCCCCCAGCCTGTCTCGACACGCAGTGGGTGGTTGGAGCGGATGAGCAGGAAAGGGCAGGAGAGCAATTTGGGAGTCCTTGTATGCTAAGAGCAGTGGTTCTCAGCTGGGGACAAGTGTGCCCCACCAGGGGGCATTTGGGCTATGGCACTGGGGGAGGGGGTGCTACTGGCATCTAGCAGGTGGAGGCCAGGCACCGACTCAATGTCCCACATGACAGTCCCCTACCGCACAGCAGCGGCTGGCCCTGAAGGTGAATCATGCTACAGTTGAGGAACCCTCCAGAGCAGGGGGCAGGGGGACTGGGGGCCACGGGGGTGGAGACTTACCCCAGCAGGCACAGGCTCCCACAGGAGAGCCAGGTGAGGGCGCCGGCGTTGTAGGACAGCTGAGTCACGATCATCTTACTGCAGGAAGGACAGCACATCTGGACAGGGCGGTCGAAAAAGGAGACGGGCTGCTGCACGTAGACGGTCTGCACAGCAACTGCAGGGGCAGAGGACACACAGGCTGCTCCGGACATGCAAGAGGGCCACCGGCCGGGCAGAGACCCGGACCAGTACTCGTACCGATGCTCACAGCACAGCCATTCGCAATAGTCTAAAGGGGACAGCCCCCCGTCTACTGAGGGATGCATACACACACGCGTGACCTGTCCGGACACATGCTGAAACCACTGATGTGTAGAGGGTCAACTTTATGGTATGGAAATTGTCTCTCAAGAAGGCTGTTATTTAAAAATGGATGTGGGCTAGTCGGTGGCATAGTGGATAAGGCAGCTGGATCCCACATGGCTGACTGCACAGGTCAAATCCCAGACTCAGCAGCTTGAAAAACACACTGGGCACATGTGCGTGCATGCCCAAATCCTGAGAGGAGAATTGAGAAGGGATTGTGGTGTGGCCACTGCCCTGGGGGGATGATTTCTCACTTATTCTCTCTCTCTCTCTCTCTCTCTCTCTTGTTCTCTCCAGTGAGTACAAATACCCTATGGCAAAAAGAAAAAAAAAAAAGAATCTCAAAATAAATAAATAAAATTTTTAAAAATGGGGCCAGCAGGTGGCATGGCATTTAAGGTGCTGGACGTTCCCACAAGGCTGACCATAGTTGGAGTCCCAGAGCTGGTGGCTTGCTTTCTCACTTTCCCTCTCTCTCTCTGTATGTCCGGTATCTCTCTCTGGTCAAATTAAAATAAATGAGTGAATAAATAAAATTAAAATAATTCTTTAAAGACATTTTTCTAAATGGATGTAACAGTTACTGCAAAAGTTAAATGAGATTAGGATAGAAAGAGCCTCACACCATGCCTGGTATAGAATAAATTCTTGATAAAACAATTCACTTTTCACTCAGTTTCCTCGATAAACTCCCATGTCCAATGACAAGGGTAGAACTGACAGGCCAAGAAACATAGACATTGTTCTATGACGGTAAGGGTGACTCATGTTCACACATGAAATAATATTGAAACAATGCTGAGAAGAGAAACCATGTGAAAACATGTACAGACATACGGAATAATCAGAAGTGACTCCAGAGGTATGGACATCATTAAGCACCTAAGTAGTTTAAGCTCATATTTCTGTCAAACAACTTCCTTCTCTTCCTTTTTACATTGTTAGAATGTCATTTATATATCCTTACGCAAGGGGGAGATTTACTGCCTAGGCTTAATAGCTTAATACTCAGAGAAATACCCCCCTTCTGGAAAACCAATAGTAAAGCATACCTTAGCACTTCCATATAAATATCATTAAGTTTTTTTTTTTCCCCAAGAATCAGTTACTGATGGATCTCAGTGTAATCTACAAAAGTCTAGTCATTCAAGACCCCATCTTCTTCTACCCCGGGGGTAGAAATAACTTGAGCATGGGAACAGTAATAATTCCGTTTCATCAAATGATTACTTCGCGTGGCACATATTAGTTTGTTTCATCTTTTTTTCCCCTTAGCTTTTACTAGAGGGTGTGTGCTCACAGGAGACAGAGTGAAAGAGAGGGAAAGGGAGAAGCCCTGCCCTGGGGGCTGGCCACACCTCCACCCCTTCTGCTCCGACTCTCCTCTCGGTATTTTGGCACGCACGCTCTCACGCCTGCCACGTTTCTCAAGCTGCCTTAACCAGCTGGCCCGGTCTATTTCATCCTAACAACCCAAGGAGCAGGTACCTGATGAGTCCTACGTAACAGAGGGGAAACTGAGGCAGAAGGCGGCTAAGTGAGCCCAGGCAGTCTGACTCACAGGCCCACTCACCGAGCTAGAGATTTCTCCCCTGAACTGCTCGTGACACTGTGAATCACACTCACCAGGATGCACCTGACAGCGCAAAGTACCAAAGGGCAGGAACAAGAAATTCCTCACGGTGGAGGAGAACCTGCCCCGAGGACGAGGGGTAGAAATACTGGCACCTATTTCACTCGTGGCTGTCTCGTCCTCCTGTTTCTACCTCAGCCCTGGCCTCAGAGCAGAGGTTCTCCTGACCTCAGCAG